GACCCGGGGTTCGCCGGTTTGGATCCCAGGCACGCACCGACGCACTGCTTGGCAGGCCATGCTGTGGCGGTGTCCCATATAAAGTGGAGGAAGACGGGCACGGATGTTGGCCCAGGGCCAGTCTTCCTCAGCAAAAAAAGAGGAGGATTGGCAGATGTTAACGCAGGGCTGATCTCCTCACAAAAAAAAAAAGAGAGAGAGAGAGAATATCGTCTGGTCCATTGTAAAATGTCTAGTAAAAAAAATCACATAGTCTTCTTGGGTCTGGGTCTAGTATCTAACATACTAACAAAATTGCAATTGTTTAGAGTATGTGTTTTTTAAATAAAGTTTAGTTAAGAAAGTCATACTTAATAAAAGAAACTAACTTCTACTTCAGTATAAAAAAGTATCTAGAGCTGGGGCCAGCCCGGTGGTGCAAGCGGTTATGTGCGCACGTTCCGCTGCGGCGGTCTGGGGTTCGCCGGTTCGGATCCCGGGTGCGCACCGACGCACCACTTGTTAAGCCATGCTGTGGCGGCGTCCCATATAAAGTAGAGGAAGATGGGCATGGATGTTAGCCCAGGGCCAGTCTTCCTCAGCAAAAAAGGGGAGGATTGGCATTGGATGTTAGCTCAGGGCTGGTCCTCCTCACAAAAAAAAAAAAGTATCTAGAGCTTTAATAAACTCTGGATGTGGACTCATTTTTAAAAAATTGAAATTGGATGATATTCATCAGCCACCCAGAAATTTGAATAATTGAATTTCCAGAGGAAGAGTCATTTTACATAAAAAAAATTCTGACAAAGTGCATTAAAAATAAAAGTCTTAAATAAGTAGACTTTCTTTACTGTGGCATTCAGGCAAAAAGAGTTTGAAGTATCATTCAATCACAGTAAAGGAGTCAAGTTCTGAGATGGCATGAGTACTGGTGAAGTGGAGACTTGACTTGTTAAAGTTCATTATGTCTCCTTTATGTAGTTCATGAGCAGGACTAGAAAACAAAATACCTTGCCTCAATCTACTACAAAATGGCTCACCTCTTTCTGTATCTTATTTGTTATCATGATGTCTTTGTATTTCGTAATAACAGTCACACTTACCTCTAATCATCTTTTATGCTTTTTTAGTCTCTACCAAAAGCAACAATAAATAGTATTTTTCTAATACCAGTGAAAAGTTCAAGAAATAACATGTAAGAGAAAATTTTTTACCACTACTATTTTTTAAATTGTTGTGATGGGTTTAAAGATAGTTTTATTTCAATTTTTCCAAAACTGAAAAAAACCCACAAAGACAGATTTCTGTAATATGTCTGGATATTACATGAAATTAGATATACCGTGAGATAAACATGCATTCTGAAAACATTCTACTCAACCAAATTCTGATGTTAACACAATTATATTATAAAGTAGTTGTTGGTCCCATTTTTCACTTGCAAATAACACAAAAATAGTCAATTGAACTAAACAATGGGGACTAATAGTCTCCAACAAAGAAGCAAGGGGAGATTGATCATTCTTTAGTCTACTCTGAGATTTTGGTGCAATCTCTTCTCTCTATTCTGTAATCTGAGGCAAAAGCACTAAAATCTTTAAATAAATATTTAAAGATGAAGAAGAAAAGAGTTATTGCAATCCTAAGTGTCATCTACAAGATGTGCTGTACGCAATTGTAGCTAGGGAAGAATGCCCAGGTGTGTTAGCAGCATCTTGATAACAACAGAAATAAGGCCAAGTCATTTGTTACATTGTCAAACTAGCATATGTAGTTATGCTTGGGTACATGCTACGGAATCACAAGAGAATAGCTTTGACCGTTGAAGTCATTATTCATTCATCCTTATGATGCAACTGGGAGATAAAACAATTGCTTAGTAATCTCTCTCCCTCTCTATCTCCCTTTGCAATTATTTTGTATGAATAATGTCAAGTGGGTTGAGAGTTTATCATGTACCATATTTCTTAAGATTTTTTTTCCCAGAAAAGATGTCATTTGCATGTTACTGTATAAATTATATTTATTTATCTGCTTAGAGAACTTACTGTCATCTAGGTTTTACCTCATTTTGATATAATCCTAGAAAAAACATCAGAAATTTCTTTGGGGGGAGGACAGAAAGGAGGGAGGTCGCATGCACAGCAGATTTGATTCCTTTTCTTTTCATAACATCATTTTTACTCTACCATCTTTGCAGCCAGAAGAGTCTTTAGTACTTCTCATCCCAATGTTATTAAAACAGCTCATTTGTTTAGAAGCATTTCACTTCATTAACCAAATATCTAGAGAATTTTCATTACATTTCATTTATTTTGAGGTCAGAGAGAAATTTTGTTCCAAAGACAAGAAGTTTTAAACAATAACCTTAAATATTTCTGATTTCTAAACACAAGTAAATAGGTAACAAAGTTAGGAAGAAAAATAAACACACAACTTAAGTTGTGAAGTGTAGAAATGGAGACACACTGAACCAGGGTAATTCTTGTTTCCAGAGTCTGAGCAGTCAGAGCATCTAGATGATGTTCTTGTCTTTAAAACCCCTGCCATTTCCTGCGGAGGCTGAAAGGCCAGTGTTGAAAAGCCTACATTTGGAATTCTGGATATCAAAGTAATGCATTTGGAAAATAAGTAAGCTCTATCAACCCATCTCACAATACAAATTCCTGCTTACTGATGGAAACAAAAGCATATGGGATATTCAAATAAAAACACAAAAAGCTACCATTTACTGGGTATTATCTACAATCCTGTGAGGAGGCATTACTATGCTCATTAACAGATGAAGAAATTGATGCTTCATATTAAATAAATAACTTATCCTAGGGGACACACTGGTATGGAAGTAGAATTCAAACATAAGTTTGTCTGTTCCAAAGTCCTAGCACATAACTACTAAGCTAAAATTTTGATAATGCAAACAGTGGAAAGTTAGCTTTTTCCCTCAGGGAACCACCTAATACCACCTTAAATTCTCCATTTATTCACTGAGATGAGATATACTTTTAAATTTGTGGGAAAAAAAACTCTTTTTTTTATTGCATACTAAAAAATAATAACTCAGCATTGGAAACAGAAGACTCATCTCTCTACACCTCCCCAAATGAGCAGACCAGAGTCTAATTATAATAAGCACATCTCAACTACACAAGCTCCTCCTACCTCTAGGGAGTTCCAAGACTAACAAAAGAATTCAGGGGAAGCTGAGGGAGCTCCCCTTCCCTTGTGACCACTCTGACACAAGAGAAAAAAAAACCGCAACACCTATCGTTGAATTTTTTTTTTTTTTGAGGAAGATCAGCCCTCAGCTAACATCCATGCTAATCCTCCTATTTTGCTGAGGAAGACCGGCTCTGAGCTAACATCTACTGCCAATCCTCCTTCTCCTTTTTTTTCCCCCCCAAAGCCCCAGTAGATAGTTGTATGTCATAGTTGCACGTTCTTCTAGTTGCTGCATGTGGGAAGCAGCCTCAGCATGGCCGGAGAAGCAGTGCCTTGGTGCACGCCCGGGATCCGAACCTGGGCCGCCAGTAGCGGAGTGAGTGCACTTAACCGCTAAGCCACGGGGCTGGCCCCTATCATTGAATTTTAATGAGAAGAGTTTTCTTAATATTTAGTGCTCTTTTTTCACCAAGTCAATATGAATAGATATAGGGTGATAGTTATGCTCTGTGCTATTTCTTTCATTAAAATATGTTTTCTTAACACAGTTGGAGGTACTTTGCAAAATAAACACCAACAATGAACACATAAAATGACTCAATAATTGATTGGTAAACACCATGTAACTATGGAATAATTATATGCCCTGTGAATTATATGGTACTTATAGTTGACATTATGTAGGAATCCTAAGAAATGAACTTGTAATTTGTACTTATCAGATTTCAAATCCAAACAACCAGTTAAGTATCCTGTTATTATATAAAAAATGTCCTATCATTAGATACCTGGTCAGTAATAATCATGCAATTAGTTACACATATCACATCCCAAAGCAAAATACGTAATATCTTGGGATATCAAGAAACAATTTACCAATTTAACACATTTAGGAAGAAAAAATGAATTTAAATATAGTGCCTAATGAATGTATGCAGTCATGCAATCAGTTTCCCAGTTGTCTGCTTGACTGGCTCCTTCTCATTATGCAGGTCTTTCTCAACTCTAATGTCAGCTCCCCAGCAAGACCTTCCTTGGCCTTCCTTTCTAATGTGGACCCATCCCAATCCATTCCCCCAAAGACCCCCTATCATATCACTGTGTTTTATTATCATCATCACACTTTTCACTCTTTGAAATGATCTTATTATTTATTTATTTTAAAAATGTCTATCTCTTTGCAATAACAGTAGACCTTGTTTCTCTTCGTTGGAGAAGACAGTTTGTCTAGTAAATAACTGTCTCTTTCTTTTTTTTTTTTCTTTTTTGTGAGGAAGATTGGCCCTGAGCTAACATCTGTGCCAATCTTCCTCTATTTTTGTATATCGGTGCCCGCCACAGCATGGCTTGATGAGCAGTGTGTATGTCTACACCCAGGATCCAAACCAGTGAACCCCTGCAGCCGTAGCAGAGTGACGGAACCCAACGGGCCCCACAACTGTCTCTTTCTATTAGAAAAGTGACCATGTCTGTTAGCGCAACACTATAATCCCAGTGTGTGGCACTAGCTAGGCACATCAGTAACACACTGGAGTGTTTGTTGGTGAATGCATGATTCACTGAGTACCCACTATGTGCAAGGCACTTGATTAGAGCATAAAACTAGACAGATAGAATCTCTGTCTCATGGGTCTTGTATGCCAAGATACTGAATCAATGTGCCACACACTTTCAAAGTATTTTCCAAAGCAAGTATGAAATTTAAAAAAAAAAAACTAACCTTAATACTTAATTCAAATATACAGTTACCCTCAATGCTACCATATTGTTTTAACCTGTTTCTACCTACTTTGTTTCACAGGAACATACACTGAAATGTTTACCAATTGTTTCTGACCATGCCGTGTTTATTTCCACAGACAACAACATTAATAGGTCTTTTGAAGACAGCTCGACTCCTTCGTCTTGTGCGAGTGGCCCGGAAACTTGATCGATATTCGGAATATGGCGCTGCTGTTCTAATGCTCTTAATGTGCATATTTGCCCTGATTGCTCACTGGCTGGCTTGCATTTGGTATGCGATTGGGAATGTAGAAAGGCCCTACCTGACTGACAAAATTGGATGGTTGGATTCCTTAGGACAACAAATTGGGAAACGTTACAATGACAGTGACTCAAGTTCTGGACCATCCATTAAAGACAAATACGTCACAGCACTTTATTTTACCTTCAGCAGTTTAACCAGTGTAGGATTCGGGAATGTGTCTCCTAACACCAATTCGGAGAAAATCTTTTCAATTTGTGTCATGTTGATTGGCTGTAAGTAGATTTCTCTTTTGATATCTATTGGGGTAAAATAATATCACAAAATTGATAACTCTAGAACATTTAGAATAAGACAAAAGATGTTCTAGAAAATTGTGGAGAGAATGGGATTTCATATATGGGTATCATATTCTATCAGTTCTGATTCTTTCTGTGAAAGGGAGACAACAAAGTTCTTTTGGGATCTCAGGAAACCACGATAGTAAAACTGGAGTGACATCAGTCTTGGAGTGAGATTTGCAGTTCACTTTTACTGCTGTAAAAAATTGTCTGTAATTTATTACCAATGGTTATTTTCTATTTCAAACAGAAGCCAGATTAGAATGGGAAAGATTAGCTTATATTACATTACTAGACATTAGATAGATAGATAGATAGATAGATAGATAGATAGATAGATAGATAGATATGTAGATATCAAATGTAAGCTAATCTTTCATGTGTATATATATACACACAATACATACATGTATATGTACTCTTATATGTGTGTTTTTTTCCCAGTCATTGACTAAAAATTCCTTTCCCTGTGACATCATGCCAAAGCCTAAGTGTTTGCCCTTTACCCTATAACGGGGTAATAACATGAGCATCATTTATAAGGTATATTCTTTGGAACAAGAAAAAAGTCTGTGTTAAAAAAAAGATATTTTAATGTTAATATTTTTTTAAAATCACACTGTGGAACCACTAACGATAATCTTGCTGATAGCAGTCAACAGTTGACAAAAGCATGATGGATTTTTAAAGCTTAAATAAGATCATCATCTTTAGATTGTGTACATATTTGAGAATAGATCCAAATAATTGATTTTTTTTTTTTTTTTTTTGTGAGGAGATCAGCCCTGTGCTAACATCCGCCAATCCTCCTCTTTTTTTGCTGAGGAAGACGGCCCTGGGCTAACATCTGTGCCCATCTTCCTCCACTTTATATGGGACGCCGCCACAGCATGGCTTGCCAAGCAGTGCGTCGGTGCGCGCCCGGGATCCGAACCAGCGAACCCCGGGCCGCCGCAGCGGAGCGCGCGCACTTAACCGCTTGCGCCACCGGGCGGGCCCCCAAATAATTGATTTTTAAATGTTAACATATTGACTAATGAAATGTGCTTAGATAAGTTTAATATACAAAACTTAAATAGATTCGCCCAGTTTATTTTTCACTGTATTTAAAATTTACTTTTCGTATACGTCTTGGTATTTTTAATAACATTATATTTAAATAACTCCTAAGATATTCTACAAATTCAGGCTGAATCTTGGCTATAAACACAGAAGTAGCGTTGCACCCAGAAGGAAATGGAAATAAGGCCTACTGGAAAAAAAAGAAAAATTCATTCCAGAGAGATTGAATCTCTCAGAGCAAACAGTCCCAACCACTCTGTGATTGCATCTGCTAGTAAATACTTTATAGTGATTATCAATTTGAATGGCACAGGTCGCAAACAAAGAAAAGAAAAAAAAGTTTGTTCTTAATTACTTAAACACCTGTGTAGAAAAAATACATATCATTTTTTTTAAAGAAAACAAAAACAGCATCTTGAAACTTAGAATTTGCAAAAAAGAATTTTTTAAAAACTGAAGTATAACCTGTTCACCATTTGGGAATCCTTACCACCTGTGAGGATTAAGTGATAGACATAGTGTTGTTTATCATGTGAATTATTTTAAATTAAAGAAAACTCAGTTCTTTACTTGCTCTATACCCAATCTCTAATCCCTAAATCAGAGGATTATTAGCAGTTTTTATTCTTCCTTTCTTCCTGTCTCCTTCCTTCCTTCTCTTGTAAATGCAGTACTAGGCCATTTCTATTGATTCTTTAAGAAGAATATTTGTTTCCTGAAGATGAATTTCATCTTTTAAGAAAGGAGAAAACACTGTAGTTAATTGGGTAGAGTAAGATACATCCATATTCCACATAACATCCTTTATTTGAATAACAGACTTGGTCCTACAAACTTTAATCAAAATGGGATTATGTAAAGCTTAATGTCACTCAGAAAAAGATTATAGATATTCCTGGAGAATTCTATCATGACCTATTATGCCATAAATACAGAAAAAAGGTAAAATTAAGACTTGAAATTTAACAATAATGAGAATGCCCTGAAATTTGCTTAGCCATTTAATGGATATGGATATGTCTATGCATGATATTTCCATTTATATCTAATTGTGTTAGACAATGCTTTGGTTTTCTTTGTTTGGTTATATTTCTACACCAAGTACATATTTCTTAGCTCTATGACTAGCCTGATTTAAACCTAAAAATAAAATACAATATGCAAAAATATAATGTAAAATATTGTATATGTACTAATCCTAGTTATAGTCTATTTTGTCTAGTTACCAGGTTGAACTCTCTCATCATCCCTAAGCTTCTTTAAATCTAATCTTCATTCTAAAAGAAAAATTTGGAGCCAAGTTGTAGAAAACAAAGCAATCTACCCTCTCTCTTACAGCAATATAATTCAAGGAAACTAAAAATTAAACATTAAAAACTGTCATCTGGGGCTGGCCCAGGAGCATAATGGTTAAGTTCACGTGCTCTGCTTCCGTGGCCCAGGGTTCACAGGTTCAGATCCTGGGCACAGACCTATGCACCACTTATCAAGCCATGCTGTGGCAGGCGTCCCGCATATAAAGTAGGCTAACAGATGTTAGCCTAGGGCCAATCTTCCTCAGCAAAAAGAGGAGGATTGGCAACAGATGTTAACTCAAGGCTAATCTTTCTCATCAAAAAAAAAATGTCCTCTAACTAAATGCAGATAACTCAAATGCCTATAGACACAGTTTTAAAAGCTGCTATTTGCAAAGACAGTTACCAACTATATTGTTGAATGTGTACAGAGAACAGTGACCAGGGAATTCATTTTAAAAGTATACACAGTTCAAGATGAAAACTAAAATAAAATTTAAGCATCCATTAAATAAGTGTAATACAAGTTATGCTCGTATATTTATATCTGTGTTCTAATATATACATTTGTATTTTTATTCAACTATTATAATTGTGACCATACACATTTAATTTCAAAAACACATAATCCAGTAAATAAAGGCAAATGTATTCCATCTCTGACCTGCTTCACAAACATCTTGGGAGAATTTCTTGTTTTTATAACATGTAGAAAAAAGTTATTAGGGGCCAGCCGAGTGGCGTAGTGGTTAAGCTCACGTACTCTGCTTCAGCGGCCCCGGGTTTGCAGGTTTAGATCCCGGGCGCAGACCTACGCACGACTCATCAAGCCATGCTGTGGAGGCATCCCACATACAAAATAGAGGAAGACAGGCAGACATGTTAGTTCAAGGCCAATATTCCTCACCAGAAAAAAAAAAAAAAAAGAGTTATTAGATTTCTGCTTCTAGCCATGATGGAGTAACTGGAACCTTATGACACCCCTATAAATTTTTTTTTCAATAACAGAAAACTGAACAACATATATAAGGCAACTGTTTTCAGACATTGGAGAACAGACAGTAGAGAAGTTTGATCCCTGAGAGAAGAAAAACAAACAAGATGGGCCCCATAGTATCCTCAGCTTTCTGCCTGGAGGCACTTTCTGAACCATATTGAAAGGAGAAGCGACCTAAACAGATGACAGTGATCTCACTGTGTTATGAAAACAACATCAGAGGTTATGGAGGCTGAGGTGCTAAAATTTGCAAGACAACCAGAGAAGAGGCAGCTATGACAAAGAAAAACTCCAGAAACCTGTTTAGGTATCCCCTTGAGTTTACTGATGAATACTAAGTCACAAATGTATGAGGTCTGGCATTTAAATACCAGAAGTACTGTAAGCTGAACAACTTTCAAAGCTCACATAGTTTTGGGAGATATTCAAGTTCCTGCCAGCAGAGTGGAAAGCGTTCATTGAATATTAAGAGTATTCAGTAGAAATCTCAGAAAATAGTGCCATAGTACTAGGGCTAGTCTAGCCCTCAGAAAGTTTAAAAAACAAGACTCAAAAGATATAAGCTGATCTACAAGTATTTTAACTGCCTGCAAGAACAACATACAACATTTCTAAAGGTAGACAAAAAATATACAGTGAGGAACAATGTTAAATTTATAATGCCCAGTATCCATTAAAAAATTAATTGATATGCTAAGAAACAGGGAAATGTAACTCATAAGCAGGAGAAAATTTTTTTTAAAAACTCAGAACTGATAAAGAAGATGTGCTATATATATACACACACTCAAACACACACACACACACACAAAATGGAATATTATTCAGCCATAAAAAAGAAATCTTGCCATTTGCAACAACATGGATGGAGTATGCCCTTAGCATCAGGGCGTTATCCTAAGGAAAATAAGTCAGAGAAAGACAAATACTGTATAATCTCACTTATATGTAGAATCTAAAAAAAAAGTTTTTTTTTTAAAACCAAGCTCATAGATACAGAGGACAGATTGGTAATTGCCAGAGGCTAAGGGTGGGGGAGTGGGAGAAATGAGTGAAGGGAGTCAAAGGTACAAATTTCCAGTTATAAAATAAATAAGTCATGGAGATGTAATGTATAGCACGGTGACTATAGTTAATAATAATGTATTGCATATTTGAAAATGGCTAAGTTCTCATCACAAGAAAAAAAATTCTGTAACGATGATGACAGATGTTAACAAAACTTATCATGGTGATCATTTTGCAATACATACAAATGTCAAATCATTATGTTGTACACTTGAAACTAATATGATGTTGTCATATTAGTTTATTTAAAAACCCAGAACTGGAATTGACAAGGATGATGGAGCTAGCAGACAATCCCAAGCACTTGAACAAATGTGTATGTGGACTCCCAAAAATGGGGGAGGGAAGTAGAAAAAAAAAATTTTTTTAAATGGCCGAAATTTTTCCAAAATTTATAAAAACTGTCAAGCACAGCTCTAAGAAATTCAGTGACTCTGAAAGACCTTAAACACACATACACAAAAACTCACACCAAGGCATATCATAATCAAATTACTGAAAACAAATGATAA